AAAAAAAAAAAAAGAGTAGAGTAATAGGCAGCTCTGTTCCTTTCACTCCATTTGCTTTTTGAGTTGCAGCAAGTAGGATTTCAGATTTCTCTATCCAAGCAGTCAATAAAAATATATTGAGTGTCTGCACTGTGCCATCGTAACATATGGGCAAATGATATCATCCCTATCCTTGAGCGGCTCATTCATAATACCGAGCTTGGAAGACAAAGCTAGAACCAAATGTAATGACTCATTAACATGATTGATTGGGGAGCGTGCAAGTGTTAGGGGAGCACAGAGGAAGATGCATGTCGTTTTCCTTAAGAATGGAGGAGTGGGACAGGCACGTTGGCTCCCACCTGTCACCCCAGCTTCTTGGGCAGCTGAGGCCGGTGGATCTGTCGAGCTCAGGGGTTCGAGACCAGCCTTGACAACATAGGGAGACGCCATCTCTACAAAAAGTACACAAATTAGACCGGTGTGGTGGCATGCGCCTGTAGTCCCAGCTACTTGGGAAGCTGAGGTGGGGAGAATTGCCTAAGCCTGGGAGATCAAGGCTGCAGTGAGCTGAGATCATGACACTGTGCTTCAACCTGGACAACAGAGTCAGACTCTACTTCAAAAAAAAAAAAAAAAAAAGGAAAAAATGGAGTAGTGGGGAGGACCTCAGAGGGAATGTGACATTTAAGCTGGGTTTTTATTTATTTATTTTTTTGAGATGGAGTCTCTTTCTGTCAGCCAGGCTGGAGTGCAGTGGTATGATCTCAGCTCACCACAACCTCCGCCTCCTGGTTCAAGCGATTCTCCTGCCTCAGCCTTCTGAGTAGCTGGAATTACAGGCGCCACCACGCCTGGCTAATTTTTGTATTTTTAGTAGTGATGGGGTTTCACCATACTGGTCAGGCTGGTCTCGAACTCCTGACCCTGTGATCTGCCCGCCTCAGCCTCCCAAAGTGCTGGGATTATAGGTGTGAGCCACCACGCCCGGCCTAAGCTGGTCTCAAAATATGAATAGGTACTAGCTAGGTAGAAGAAGAAGGCATAGGCATTTTAGGTACAGAGAGCATGGTGACTGTGGCATGCAAGTAGGATAGTAGATATTCCGTTTGGGAAAGAGTAGTCAGCCTCTGCTGTCTGGCAAGTACCATGTGTGGTTGGGGCTTGGAAACAATGAGGCTGAGGAGTGTGTCTGGAGTGAGACCACTAAGGGCATTGATTGTGGCCCAGCGTCGTGGCTCATGCCTGCAATCCCAGCACTTTGGGAGTTGTGAGGTAGGTGGATTGCTAGAGCCCAGGATTTCCAGACCAGCCTGGGCAACATGGTAAAACCCTGTGTCTACAGAAAAAACAAAACAATTAGCCAGGTGTGGTGATGTGTGCCTGTAGTCCTAGCTACTTGGGAGGCTGAGGTGGGAGGTTCACCTGCTCCCAGGAGTTGAGGCTACAGTGAGCTGTGATTGTACCACTCACTGCACTCCAGCCTGGAGTGACAGAGTGAGACCATGTCTCAAAAAAAAAAAAAAAAAAAAAAAAAAAAAAGAAGAAGAAGAAGACATTGTTTGTTACACAGAGGAAGGGATTTTACACATTATTCTGTGGGAATAACAGCCACTGAAGGTTTTTAAGGATGAGACTAGATGTGTCCCGTGTTATTTTGGTCTTCAAATTTTGGCTCTCCATTGTAAATGTCCACTAACTACATGTGTCTCATCTTGCATATTTCTTTTTCTGAAACATACAATTTATGATTCAGGTTTAGATGTCTGTGCCACTTGCCATGAACATGCCACATGCCAGCAAAGAGAAGGGAAGAGGATCTGTATTTGCAACTATGGATTTGTGGGTAACGGGAGGACTCAGTGTGTTGGTAAGTTCTGAATCCTGGGTTAAGTTGAAATGGTGAATCACGAAACAAGATTCTCTTGTGTTAAAGAGCTGATGTCCTTGGGGGAGAATGTTGTTATTTTGTTCACATATTTTTATTATGAGAAGTTTTGTCAATTATAATAATTCTTTGTTTTAGCGTTTGGATACATTCGTTCTCTAGTGTTTCCAAGGTAGTATTCCTCACGTTAGAGGTCACTGAAGTCGAATCTCTGGAAACTCTGGGACCTAACACAAATTTGACATCTGTTTTAAGTTTGACTTTGCAACTCAAGTGAATATTGCATTCCTTAATTTCTCTGGTTATTTTGATATAAAACTCTTTATATTAGTACCATGAGGAAAAACAAAACAATTTGCTATTGGACTTTTTGGTTAATTGGTGAAATACTGTTGCTTTGGGTCTTACGTCTATCAGAATTCATCCTCCAAATTTTTGGTAGTTGTAGTACTTTTAGGGACTTAGAAGACTTAAAGGAATTCAAAGCCCTTTAGGTTAGAAGCATCTGAAATTATTGTTTGCCTTATGACATCTACCATGCTATGACAGTCAGACACTATCCAGATTCCAGCTCGATTCAGAGAGAGGGAGACTTTCACAACAATTTTACAATAGTAAATGTTGCAATAATCTTCCAATTTCCTCCCAGCAACCTTGTTAGATGCATTAAAAATATTGATGATTTTACCTTACGCTTGTGGATAAATTGTGTATACAGCCCTGTTGTGATATCTTTGTGTGCTTTTTCTTCTCCCTAAAGAAAAATAGCAGCCAGTCACGGTGGCTAGAGCTTGTAATTCCAGCTGTTCTGGAGGTTGAGGTGGGAGGATCACTGGAGGCCAGGAGTTTGAGACCAGTCTGGGCAGCACAGCGAGACCCCCATCTCTAAAAAATTTTTTTAATTAGCCATGTGTGGTAGTACATACCTGTACCCCCAGCTATTCAGGAGGCTGAGGCAGGAGGATGTCTTGATCCCAGGAGTTCAAAGCTTCAGCGAGTTATTTATTATTTTATTTTTTGAGACAGGGGCTTTCTGTTTCCCAGGCTGGAGTGCAGTGGCATGATCATAGCTCACTACAACCTTGCCACCATGCCCAGCTAGTGTTTCTCCTTCTCCTTCTCCTTCTCTTTCTCTCCTCTTTCTCTTTCGTTCTCTTTTTTTCTTTCTTTCTCTCTTTCTTTCTTTTCTCTCTTTCTCTCCTCTTTCTTTCTTCCTTTCCCTCCCTCCCTTCCTTCCTTCTTCCCTTCTTCCTCTTCTTCCTTTTCTTCTTCCTCTTCTCCTCTCCTTTTCCCCCGCCTCCTTCTCTTCTCCTTCTTCCCCCTGCTCCTTCTTTTTCTCCTCCTCCTCCTCCTCTTCCTTTTCTTCCTCTTCTTCATTTTTTTGGTAGATACAGGGTCTCACTACGTTGCCCAGGCTGGTCTTGAACTCCTAGGCTTAAGCGATCCTCCTGCCTCAGCTTCCTAAAGTGCTGGGATTATAGGTGAGAGCCACTGCGCCTGGCCACTACCGCATTTCAGCCTGGGAGACAGAACAAGACCCCATCTCTTAAAAATAGAAGAAAGATAAAAAAACACCATCAAAAAAACCCAATTTTGTCTTCAAAAAGTCACTTTTTACTTTGCAGACACAAGCTTTTAGAGTCACTCACCATTGTCCATTCTGCAGGCTGGAGTTAAGTCTTCTTTGACTCTTGTTTTTTAGAGTTGTACCCATGAGAAGTTTGGCTGCCCTACAGTCTGAGGCTCCAGGGGAAATTTCTCCCAATGCCTCGCACCCTCCCACTCCTCACGTGCACTTGCGAGCAGTGAGATAGAAATTAAGTTGAGAATGAACAAACTTTTCTGTTCCCTTCCCAAAGGAATTCCTCCTCCCATTTTTGTCTGCCCTTTGACTTGTTTTTATTTTTTTTAGATGGAGTCTCCTGTGGCCCAGGCTGGAGTGCAGTGGAGTGATATCGGCTCACTGCAACCTCCGCCTCCCGGGTTCAAGCAATTCTCCTGTCTCAGCCTCCCGAGTAGCTGGGATTACAGGCACACACCACCACGCCCAGCTAAATTCTGTATTTTTAGTAGAGACGGGGTTTCACCATGTTGGCCAGGCTTGTCTCAAACTCCTAACGTCAAGTAATCACCTGCCTCGGCCTCCCAAAGTGCTGGGATATCAGGCGTGAGCCACCGCGCCTGGCCCTGTCCTTTGATTTTTGTACAAAGAAACTCCTCTTAATGGGTGGAGGGGGCTTTATTAATTTATGTGGTACCGCTCCCAAACCCTAGGCACTGCGTATCCCAGTGCCTGGCCTGCTGAGACTGAGCCATACATAGATTGCAGGTGCGGTTATACATGTACCAGAGGTGCTATAACATGGTATTAAGTCCAGGGTCTTGAGAATTCTAGACTCCTCTACAAACCAAAATGTCCCTTTTGGTGAGGTCCACAGAGGAGTCATGTTTCAAAAACAACAACAAAGGATCGGAATATTCCATTTTCTGGACAGCCGGACTTGTTTCTGAAACCACTGGATAGTGTTCTGTAACCTGGGATGGACACTTGGCGTAACTATGGCTTGAGAGTCTGCTCTGTCCCTCTAAGCTTTTTCGCAAATCTTCCCAAACACAGATTTTTGTTTGTTTGTTTTCCTCTCAGACAGAGTCTTTGTCGTCTAGGCTGGAGTACAGTGGTGTGACCGGTTCACTGCAGCCTCGACCTCCCAGGCTCAAGTGATCTTCCTGCCTCAGCTCCTGAGTATCTGGAACTACAGGCACACACCACCATGCCCAGCTAATTTTTCTGTATTTTCCTTTTGTAGAGACGGGATTTTGCCATGTGGCCCAGGCTGGTCTTGAACTCCTGGGCTCAAGCGATCTGCCCACCTGAGCCTCCCAAAGTGCTGGGATTACAAGTGTGAGCTACTGCACCTGGCCCCACTGATAGTTTTAATATGATGAATCATGCTCCAAAGCCAATTAAATTTTAAAAATGTAATACAGTCATGTGCCATTTAATGATGTTTTGGTTAATGATGGACCAAATGTACAATGCTAGCCTCATAAAAATTATATAATGGAGCTGAAAAATTCCTATCACTTAGATATGTCGTGGCTGTCATAATGTTACAGCACAATGCATTATGTGTTTTTAGCGATGCTTGTGTAAGCAAACCTACAGCGCTGCCAGTTGTATAAAAGCATAGCACAAACAATAATGTATAGTACATAGGCCAGGCGCGGCGGCTCATGCCTGTAATCCCAGCACTTTGGGAGGCCAAGGCAGGAGGATCACCTGAGGTCAGGAGTTCAAGACCAGCCTGCCCAACATGGTGAAACCCCATCTCTACTAAAAATAAAAAAATTAGCCAAGTGTGGTGGCAGATTCCTGTAATCTCAGCTACTCGGGAGACTGAGACAGGAGAATTGCTTGAACCTAGGAGGCAGAGGTTGCAGTGAGCTTAGATCCTGCCATTGCACTCTAGTCTGGGCAACAGAGTGTGAAACTCT